CAGCACGCCGAGCTGAATTTAGATGACTTGGGAGCGGAGGACTCTTTATACATCCAAGAACACAAGCTGAAACGCAAGGTCAGCCTGCAGCTGGATCAGGCTCAGGGCTCCACTGATTATAGACCCAGACAAGTCACACCTCTTCTTCTGTCCTCCTCTTCCTCCAGATGATAAAGATTTACGAAAAGCTGTGTGAGCTAAAGAGCTGCAGCACCCTGACGGGCCGAGTCATTGAGCAGAGGATCCGCTACAATAGCACTCGTTACCCTGAGATCAACAAGAAGGTGAGCTGCTGGCTGCTTTAGGCAGTTTGGATGCCCCGGACGCTTGGGGAGGTGGGGCAGATTTAACAGGAGTCAACGGCTGTTATTTCTATGTATCAGAGATGTGTGTGTGTATGTGTGTGTGTGTGTGTGTGTGTGTGTGTGTGTGTGTGTGTGTGTGTCAAGTATTTGATACTCTGCCGATTTTGCAGTTTTTCCCACTTACACAGCATGTAGGAGTCTGTAATTTGTATCATAAGTACTCTTCAACTGTGAGTGACAGAATCTAAAACAAAAATCCAGAAAATCACATTGTATAATTTAAAAAAGATATTTTGCAGTTTATTGCATGACATAAGTATTTGATCACCTACTAACCAGTAAGAATTCCGACTCTCACAGACCTGTTAGTTTGTCTTTAGGAAGCTCTCCTGTTCTCCACTCATTACCTGTATCAACTGCACCTGTTTGAACTTGTTACCTGTATAAAAGACACCTGTCCACACGCTATCAAACAGACGGCAACCTCTCCACAATGGCCCAGACCAGAGAGCTGTAGCTGTGTATCCTAGCATCCTTGCATCCTTGTAGCCTGCAGCCTTCAGCAGCCTTGGCGGTGGACCTTGCTGGTCCTCCATCAACCGTACAGGCTGAACCGAGCGCTCTCTGAAATGGGACGGTCTGGCCTACGGGGGGGGGGGGGCATCCTGCCTGTGTCGTCACCTCCACTGCTCCCGTTACCTAGCAACATGCTGCGCTTGACAGTAAAAGTCAACTCTATAAACTTGTATGCAAGGGACTTCTTATTTTTCTATTGCATAGGATACAAGCTCTGTTAACTGTAACTTAAGATCTTACAGAATATGTCCCGAGCTACAGTAGCTGAACGTCACCACACATCGTTCTCCTTCAGCTTGATGCTTCCTCCTGTTCCATCAAACAACTAAATGTAAAGTTAGTTCATAATCACACCACAAAACAAAAGGAGCAAAGCAAGTTCAGTTTCTTTGTGTATGTATTCTGTAACGTATCCTGATATTTCAGGTTTGTAACTTGTCTACTTGAGCTCACTTTGATCCATTTCTGTTCACAATTGTTGAGTTGCGTTACTCGCATTCTTGCAGCTAACGTTGCATTCGGAGGAAAAGAGCGGGCGATTCAGATGAGCCATCTTTAGCCGTCTTCGGCATATTTATTTCACGAGCTGCCGCTGACACATCAGTCTCAGGGTCAGACGGCCTTCATCACTTCTTCATACAAAACGGCAAAACATTTTGGGACAAACAAAACAGCAATGCGAACGAATGCACAACACAGATCAGCACTGTACTACACCATCACCACAACTGAGGACATAATGAACATATCCCAACACCAATATGAAGTAGAAACTATATATGAAACCGCCACAGCCTCAATAAGATATTAGTCAGCCTCTAAAGCAGAGGTCACCGACTGGAGGACCGCGGTCCGGGTCCAGACCCAGAAGCCGTCCCATCCGGACCAAAAGCTAAAAACAGACGGTTGTGATTTAAACG